AAGTAAAATACTGAGAAGAGAAATAAATCTGCAATGAAAAAGAAAGAAGGAGAAAACCTCTAGAAGTAAGTGACAGGGAACATGAGGGGGAAAGGGCACATGGCAAACTTAGATCAGTGCAACTCTGACCAATTCAGGCTCTTCCCATGCTCATCACTGCACCATCTGTGCTTAAGTATAAATGAAAGGGTTCCCTATCACATTTTCTTTCTTTGTGCAAACATCATATTCACATTTATATATTCTGAGGACTATGTGACTTATTGATTCAGAAATTAATCTAAAATGATGCTTATATAATACACACCATATTGATTCACAATCTCATTGTGCCGGTCATAAAAATACATTCTAGAAATTGTTGTTCAGAATGCTTTTCTTGCAATCTGGGAATTACATTACAATACTTGCACTCTAAATTTAAAGACATCATGTACACCAAAGTCTGAGCACTAGCCTGTTCACCGGTTTTCCCTCCTTGCTCATTAGCTCAACACACAACACAAGACATGGGCAAGGACTCACACCAGCAGCAGTGAAAATTTCAGTACCTGTAACCCAAGGAGGGGAGCAGGACTTCAGAACCGTGTAATTACAAGAAGAAAAAGTATGATTAAAGAGTCCCTATTTCTGACACAGCACAAGTCAGAAGAAACACCAGCACTTGTCACAATGAACAGTGTGGTGAGGACTTCCCCAGCAATTCCATACACAGAGATGTGGGCTTTTCACCACAGAGAATTCAAATTTCCCTCCTGAAAAAATGAAGAAGAAGGAGGAAAGAAGTCTTTTTTTACAACATTTTAAAATTATTTAACTCTACTAACTTAAAAATACTCATTGCCAATGAGTTACTGGGTTGTTCCAATACAGGCATTAAGAATCCAAAAGCAAAAGCTCTTGCTGCCCTTCAGATTACTGGTGGTGATTTCTTCCTGACAAAATATAGGACAAATTAACATACTGCTAATGCATACTGTGTTAATTATTCTGAAGTGCCATGTAGTAACCCTGATGGAAGTTCAAACAAATTGTGACAGATACAGATAGAAACAGTATTATACGTAGTTTAAATTCGTATTCTGTCAAGTTTGCAGCTACAGCATGTGACGACTGCATTGTGAGGCTGTGTTACTGCCTAAAATGATCTCACGTTATGCTATTAGATTAAATACTCCCATGAGCTAAAACACTGTAGAGGGGCGAAGCTCAGAAAATCAATTTCAACACTGTTTTGTAAACTTCAGTATAGCTCCAATTCTCCGTTATTGATACCAATTCAATGAACCACATTTACATCGTAAGCACACACCAGGCTTAAAAAGTCAACTGGTTAGTGCACAGTGCCGAGAGTGCCGTAGGGAGGGCAGACACTTACAGACAACACGCTGCCAAAACAAAGCTTTAATTTAGAGGAAAAAATTCTGGCCTCCGGAGCTGTAAGAACCGCCCCGAGATAGGAACTGGGAGTACATGGATAAACAGAAGCAACGCTATGAGTCTAAACAGAGTGATTTCCAAAACTTATCCTCCCACGGCTTCACCAAAAAGCCGCTGGGTGAGCTAAGCAGCAGCAGCCAATTGCTGTCAGGGACTCCTGCAGGGCCCCGAAACCGGGCAAAACCCCGCTCGCTGCTCAGCCCCACTACCCAGCACACCCAGGCCCAGCCTACAGCCCGTGGGTCACAACGCTGACCCCCAAAACGCCCCAATCCATGAGCCGCCTCACCCCAGGGCACCTCTGCCTCGGCTCCCGCAAGCCCACAGCAAGTCGTGGGGCTCAAGCGGGGTTTGATACCGAGCTTCTCTGAACACAGCAGATCCCAACGCAAACGGTGGGTGGACCACCAGAGGAGAGCCAGGGTCGAACCTCTGCAGCTCACGCTTGCCGAGGTGACACAATGCACGCCTGAACACATACACACCTAATCATATAGACCGTACATATAAGCTCTCACAATAAAAACTCGTTCGTGTGCATTTACAACATACAGTCTTATTTTTTGGTGTTGAAGTTTTGTTGCCTCCCCCATGCTCCCAGAAAAAAAAAAAAATTAAAAAAATCTCCATTGGATTTCCTCAATCATTAACCATATTAAAATAATAAACATTCTGGCACCAACACTGTTTAAACAGCCTTCTCTCCACCCAAAATCCACTGGCAAATATTTTCACATATAAGATGACCATCCCACAACCCTGCTTTTGAATGCTAATCTAAACTGAGTTCTTCAAGCCAGCATGGTAAAGAGTTACTCTTTGGGAGGGGGAGTGCAGAGAAGAAATGAGAGAGGGGCCTTTAAGATGAAATAAAAATAGACTCCCTTGATCCCACCATGACATGGCCCAGACATTCTCCCTGTGGGGGAAGAAAATGTTTCTTACTGCAGTGAGAGTTTTTATAACATTTTCTTCTTTTTTTTTTTTTCCCTGTGCAACTTTGCTTCCTGAAGAATGCTTTATATAAAAGACATGACATTTGGCAACCCAGCTCTGCTGCTTTGTGAAATTCTTTTGGCAAGTGCCCTATGTGCTGACTGCATTAAGCACATCAGTTTATTTATTTATTTATTTATTTAGGCAGAAGTCAGAGGGAGCAAGCCATACAATTAACGCACAGCACAGCACTGCTTCATCCAAAAAAACGGGAGAGGAGCCAGGGAGGGAGGAGCCAGAGCCTCTCCTTTTGGGAAACCTCATGATGGGAGAGGAGACAGTTCTCCGACCTCAAAGTGTTGCTGCTGCTCTGGGGCATATGCAGTGATTCTTGGATCTCAAGGCATTTAGCGAACATCAATTAATTAATTAATTAATTAAGCCTCAATTCCACAACAAAGGCAGGTATCATTACACACCTATTTTGCATATGGGTAAAACGAGCTGCCGAGTAAACCTAAGCCTGTACCGACCTTGCCCGGTGTCCCGAGGCAGGAGGTGCACCACCTCGCTCTTGCGGAGGTGAGGTGAGAGGCACCTAGCAAGAACCGGCAGGAGGGCATGGCACCGGCCCCCTGCACACCCACGCTTCCTCCCTCATGCCCCGAGTGAAACCAGAAAATGGAGAAGTCTCCACACACCACTGTCTTCCCAAGGGCGCAGCCACGGCGCATGACTGCGAGGCACAGAGACCTCCACCGATAAGCACCGACCTGCTTTGCACCACGTCACGTTGCCCGTGACGTGCCTCAGCGCCATTCGCGCAAATCAGAGACAGCACCATGTATATATACCATCTGTGGTCATGTTCTTGCAAAGGGAAAACCTCCAAGGGTCAAGGACTCTAGCAAGCAACCCCTTTTTCCTACTCAGATGCCACGTGTTGGGCAGGAGGGCCATACATTTGTGGTTTGGAGTTATGGAGCATATTACTTCAGCCTTACAAGAAAACAAGATGCTTCTCAGAAACAATGGAATATTTTGCTTATGATCATGATTAGCCCCTTTTATTTACACCAGGGACCAACAAAGCTTGGCAGCACACCACCAGGGACACCAAGCAACAGCAAGTTCACAGAACCATGAAGTTTTCAAGCTGAATAGGAAGGAGAAATGGGAACGGGAGAGGACATGACATAGCTGCCCAGAGACCGAAGCCAACAGCTGGCCAGTCCCACAAGCCTGAAAGGGTAAAGCTTCTGCTCTTACCACATATCCCCTGATATTTTCAGGCCAAACTGCTAGCAGCGAAGGGCCCGATCCATCCAAGGCATTGTTCAGCACACACACCACGAGGGAAATGCTGGAACATGGTCTGGTGCTTTCAATGGGAAGGAGCTACCAAGTCTCTAAACAACGTGACCCCCTGCAGATTGGGTACAGAAAACACTTTTCTACATCTCAGAGAGGTAAGACAGGACTGGAGAGGCTGCTTGACCAGGTGGTGCTGCTCCAAAGGCTACATCCAAGGGCACAGACAAATCTATAATGCACTTAGCCTTTGGAAAAGTTTTAGCAGCTTGGTCTAAAAAAAAAAGTTACATGTTTAACAATGGAAAGTGTTTTCTACACACAGGTCTAAAAGAGACAGCTGTGTGTTCTCATCATTTGTGTGCACCCTGATAAAAAGTCTAATTTTTTTCCTAGAAAAGAAAATTGACATACCAATCTAAACCTGCCTAGTGTTTTGCTAGAATATGAGAAAAACTTTTTTTCTTTTTTAAATAAAAAAATCTGGCATTACACCCCCTTCCTGTTCTAAAACTTTTTCCTAGATTTTCTGTCGTTCGTTTCTAGGCCAATTTCTATGATATCAAAGTAGTTATCACAACAGCAACATACAAGCCCAATTCTACAAGATTTATTCAAGGCAAACAGGTTGCTACCAGACTGCCTGTTTCAGCAAAAGTTTGACGTGACCAAGGGCTGAGGACTGTAAGACACAGAACTCAGCATCAGTTTAACTGTACAGCAACCTTTGCCAACCATCTGTCCTCAGTAAAGCATATATCAGGCTTTCCTTTGAAAAGGACTTAGGGATCTCAGCAGTGAAAAGGGCCAAACGGACACAAATCTGTCCACAAAGAAATCACTGGCAGAATTCCCCTCACCTGAAGCAAGGAAATACCAAGCGTTCAGTAGCACAAGTCGATCATTCTCTTCAACTTGGAAACAACATACTAGCACTTCAAGTGGGGATTTCAAGCTCAGTGTACCAAGTTACCGACTGCCCACGCAGGATGCAAGCCTTGGTCTACAAGCTGATTCTGGAAGTAGAGGCCAGAAGCAAGCAAGGGAAACCTCAGCACAAGTGTCTGAAGCCGTGGACTCATTAGCCCAGCACGCAGGCAAATTTGAAGTCAAGAGGCTTTGGATCCATGTGCATATACTACACATCAAGATACATGAAAGATGCACATGATCTCCCAATGCAAAATTTCACACCAAAACATAAACAAACATGCTTTTTCTTTAAACAGAGGAAACAATTAAAAATAAAAAATATTCCCCACCAAACATATCTGTGAAGGCAAGTAAGAGGAACTAACGTATTTTAGGACAAGCCTGGCAATCTCACGAGCCTCAGGTGCACAGTGCAGAGATGCTATGAAAGACGAAATTACACAGCTTAAAACTTAGTTGCAGGTGGTTTACTTGAAGGGAAGGACAAGATTATGACAGAGGGACAAGACTTGGAGGTAAACAGTAGGATAGGACAGAACACATGAGAGAGGGACAAGACTACGTTGGTTTTGGCTTGACACTTGCCAAGTGAAAAAACAAGTGTGAGTCATAATAAAGGTAACTCAAAGTGTGATGTGACTGCAGTGGAGAACTGAGCAGACCATACTGCATGAGTCAGCAGCACAGATAAAAAGGGTGATAAGAAGCAGCAGATGGGACATGTCTTTACTAAAACAATGCTGCAGGACACAGGTCTCCTTTGCTCTAATGAAATGGTCGTGCCAAGCTGCCATGCGCTGGCTCGTACGCTCGCGATCCCGTGAATCAAAGAACGCCGTGCACAGAGGTTAGAAAAGCAGTAGGCAAACAGGTGCAGACAGATCCACATGCAAAAAAGCACAGAAAAGCAAAGCAACAGCACCCCCCCCCCAACACGCACACACCCTGACGAGCACCCTGGGACACCACCCCCAAACGACTCGGGCAGCGGGGTGGGGAGGAAGAGAAGAGGGGAAGGAAGCTGTTACTGGGATCATGGCATTCAACCTGGCCGACAGCCAGTTCTGCTGTTCCTGCTAGTCAGACTCTGCCTTCCTGGTGGGCGCCGAGGGCGGGAGTCTGCGGCACTGCAGCCCCCCCGGCCCCCTTCTGCCTCCCCAGCGTGCACCTGCAGAGCCGGGAGGCAGCCGCAGCCGCACAGCTCATACCCATCTTGAGAAGGCAAAAGAGCAGCTGGGGCTATTTGTGGAGCTATGCTCCAGTACACCTGCAACTCAGGCTTAAAGCTCCATCTTTTTGTTCAGGATTGCAAACCCCGTTTTGGTGCGAGATCGGAACATTTAGCCCCGAGAAATCAAGCACCATGTTCTTGGGAAGCAGAAACCATACAGCCATGTGCAAGGCCACATTACCTGCAAAATGCAGCTGCTGCCCTGACCACATAAATGACCTGCAACGGTGGTTCTTCGCCGTCAGGATCCCTACTCACTGCACTTTTGAACCTGGTCAGGAAAGACAACGGCCCTCTGTCACGAGCTCAAAAGCAGACAGAGACATAAGGCAAAGCTCAAATCGCCTTTCATCTCACTTCTTGGCTGAGGTAGAATTATACCCTGCCTGCGAGGGGCAAGATGGAAAGTAAAATGCTCTATTTTTAGACACAAAATCCTGCTTCATCAGGTTCATCTCATTTCTAAGAAACAAACCTTGGCAAAGGTCTGCATTTGAGGGGGATGAAAGATGACTTGTTTCATTTTCTTTTAGTGCAGCTCATAGCATGACTAGCATAAATCTAAGCAAATCTGCTTTAGCCACATATACGTGCCAGCTGTTTTATTTGAGAGAGATAGTCCCTATATTCTAGCTATATATATATATATATATTTCATTTTTCCCAATCTGTCCTGCCAAAATAAGCATGTTGTGTCCAAGTATTTCAATGGAGTTAGAAGGTGTGTCTATTCCCCTCACTCCAAACATCCTTATTTATAGATTTCAGAAGTTGGCAGGTATGCCGAGGAAGAGCAGTTGCTGAGCCTAACACACTCTGCACAGCAACAGATCTGTTTTAACAGATTAACAGGCAGAGAGAGAGAGAGACAGGAAAGAGCTGTACTTTCCTTCTTTACACATGTCCTTGCTTTCAAACGCAGCTTTACGGAGATAATGACAGTAACTGTGTGTCTAAAATAAAGCTGGACCGAGAGCCAAGGCTCATGCAGCCCCACTGACAGCAGAGCTTGGCTCTCCCCTTTGGTCATGCACTTTTCTAACCCGAGCGTGCGCCTTCCAAGAAGTAGGTAGAGGAACTGCTCTCCTACGGACATCACGAGCATTAGTGAAGGGGGAGGGCGGTCAGCCTGTAAGAAAAACAGTGAAGTTAGTTTTCATTTCCTGTCGGTTTTAATCTTGTCTAGAGGCTTTGCTAGCTGCTACTTCCATTTTCTGGCCTGTCTGCAGAGGAACTGCTTCTTCACTCGTTCGCAGAAGGTCCCTCTTAGCTGCCTGCAGTCCGTGTCTCTCGTACTCCTAAATCCACCCCACCCTGCCCACCATTCGCTGGCTGCAGCAGCAGTGAATCAGTCTGCAGCCACAAATCACTGTGTTGGCTTCCCCCTTGTAGCTCTATAAACAAACATGCCCCTGATTACAGCTTCCACTGGCAATCTTTTTTAAAAAAAAAAAAAAAAAATGCACAGGATTCATGGAAGCTGATGCACAACTGTTTTTTTTCACAGTCTAATCTTTCCATTACCCCTTGAAGGGTCTGGTCATGCAGAAACACCCTTATACCCATTTTACTGCTGGTTTTCACACTCCGTGGGCTGTTTGATTTTCTCTGAACTCATGATGCAAGTGCTTCTATATATTCAGCAGGCAATTCCTGAAATGCACTGCTCAATTTGCATGTGGACGTAGAGCGCCAACTAACCCGAAGACAATTAGCAACAAACTGTGATCAGAACTCAGACTGAGGCTCAGCGAGGACTGCCTTGTCCTCAGCCTGGAGAAAGCGCTGCTCCTACGTAACTCCCACTACGGGGCTCTTGGGCCCTCAGCACGGAGGCTGCTAAGCAGTGACAAATCGATGACAAACCATTACTGATAGTTCTGCAAAAAGGTTCCTATGGCTCTTGGCCACAGCCCCCTGGCAATATACACACTTCTGCACATCCGCTTTCAAAAGGAGCCATTACATGCACTCATCCATCTGACCAGAGATGCAAGACACAGCTAGGTGAGGGTGACACCCTGCATCAAAGGTGGCCGAGGATGGGTGTCAAGCTAGGAGAGCAGAAGGGAAAGATATACGTGATAGAGAGCAGAGCTCACGTTGCTAAGAGTTAACCAGCACAGTACGTGCCAGGAGCAATAACTTCTCCCCCTGCATGAACCGTGACCAGGAGCAATGCCAGCGAGTGTGCACAGCAAAAGAAGTCATGGCTAAGAGAGATGGAAGAGAAGGAATCACCTGATCCTCCCCCCGGTGCACATCTCTGAAGATTTATCTCAGCACCACATCCTTAATTCCTTGCCCAGTTTCCAAGAACTGGCCTTTCATAGACACGTTAGAGAAAGAAAATGAGTTTGTCTAGTATCTTTACTTCCAGCTCATGTTTGCAAAGCTCCCTCAGAAGAAAACTGCCAGACTCCACAAGCGATCAGTGTTATCACACTTGATGCATATGTGCCTTGAGCTTGCTGCCCCTCCTGGGACCAACAGCCATCACTGCAGCCCTGAAGGGATGGTGGCACTACTTTTTACTAAAAGGTAAAGTAGCGTTTTGCTTGCCTTTTCCTGGGAGAGATTATGTAGAATGTCAGAAAACAAAATTACTAACTTTATTCCTAAGATCTCTCAGCAGTGCTCAGCCTCACCTCCTCGTTTACAACTGGATGAATTTGAAAGGCAGAGTCACTTCTGCAAGATCCAAGAATGTGACTGGGAACACAACAGCAAAGCCCCAAACCCCGTTCCTCTCCTCTGTCTGCTGTGCAACCCTCTTCTCTCCCGCTGGGCACAGTGGAGCTAGGTCACCACCTTCCACATACAGACTAATATGCAAGTGACTTCTCTCTCATGCATTTATGTATGTAAATTAAGACATATTTTAAACCAGGTTGTGATGATCCATATTACGTACAAATACTGCATCTATCGAAACCATTTGAATCCAGCTTTTTTTTTAAGTAACATTTAGAGAAGGATGTGTTTGCTGCTGAAATCTCGAAGCAAATCAAACCTTGGAACTGACAGCAGTTACTGACTACACTTCTTAAACCAGGACTGACTGACATCCTACATCAGCCTGCAGTAGCAGTCTCTTCTGCCAGGCCAGAGAGGGGGTATCGTCATCATTTCACTGCATTTAGCAGGCTGAGTTAAATACTTAGCTCAAACATCAGAAAGGAACTGGAAGTTGTAAAAGTAAGAAAAGAGGAGTTAAATAATTCCTTAACGGAAGTCATGTGCAAGAGTTCACGATCTATAAGTACCAAAATTCTTATCTACGATCCTGTGACCAAAAAAAAAAAACTTTGACTTAACTACAATTAACTGTTCCTTTTAAAAATGGCTTAATTTTAATGCAAAACAAGTTTAATTTTTTTTTCTTTTTTCCCTCCTATTTCCCAGCTCCTGTTTTAAGGAAGCATTTAGTTATGTGACAGAAATGTTGCAAAATTTCCTTTTTGTGCATTTTTGCTGAACATTTATTTTCACGTGAATGTAGCCTGATACAAGTCACATGCAAAAATATAATCTAGTAAACAGTGAACAGAAAATGCACCACTGATTAAAATAAATAAATAGAAAAATTAGAGACCCACAGAAATCTATGTTGGACCAGATTACTGGTGGAACATCTGTAGAAATATAATGTAGTCTAAGTTTAAAAAAAGATATATAAAATTATTTCAAGTACTGAAAACATTCCCTTCTGTAAGGACAATAACTAAAAAGAGTAAATGCAAAACAAGATTTAGAAGCTGATTATTTTAATAGTTTTCCTGCTTGCTGATTTTAGTCACAATTGAAATCAGCGATTTAAGTCCCCCTGCAGAACCCTCCACAGGAGGAGCAGTGCTGATTCATTTCTCATGAGATGGGACACTCCAGATCATGAAGAAGAATGTTAGTTTGCTGATGCATGGCAGATACACTGGGGCAGACACAAATGCACTCTAGTATTTCAAATTAAAAAAAGGCAAGAGGCTAAAATATATGCACATATGTGCACGTGTGAATGCATGGCCTCATTTTGTTATCGTGCTCCATCACGACACAGACCAGCACAGCAGCAGACTAGGAGGAGGGAGCTTTTGCAAAGAGGTAATGGCCAGCAACTCTTGAGTGCTCAGGGCAGTTCTTCCAGATGCAGAAGCACCAGGACTGGCTCAGCAGCAGGTTTCTTGGCGTAAGCACAGCACTGCGTGGCCAGAGCTGCAGGGCTGGGGACATGAACGCGTGGTAATGCCTGACCGCTCGGGGTTAGCGTGGATCCTGCCAGGATTACGATAAGCCTTGCTAAATCCGTGCTGGGCACGTGGTGACTCTGCACCATCCTCCACCAGTGCTCCTAGAACCAGGATGACAGCGACAAAACATCCCTCGGGGCTGTCAAGCCGGGAGCTGCGCTGAGCCAGAGACAAGGAGCCTGGCTGCTCTCACCAGACCCAAACTGCCTGGCCCTACCTACTCAGGAGTCCCTCCTGTGGGTGTCCTGTAGCACCTCCACCACCCAGGTTGTTCCCACAGGCTATAGCAGCACGGACCTCCTCTTCCCTGCCCTGCACAGCAACGAGGACAGAGAAAGATGTGTTTCAAAAAGAAAAATACTTTTTTGTTCTATAGCAGAAAATGAGTTAGAAGGCTTCAGGGGACCTGCAGAAACTTGCGAAGTCGTGGAGGTGATCCTCCAGTGAGAACAAAAGGAGGAAAGCATCCATGGGGACACCACAAGCCATTTCTCAAGGGAGGAGGTTACACTACAGGGAAGAACCTCTCCTCTTCCCTCGTGCCACCCCCATACACTGAATGGCAAACGCATGGGGAGATGTAATCACGGTGGCTGCAGGAGCTGCCAAAGTGCTTTTTGGCTTAAGAAGCAAAGGACAAATTTGAGGTTTGTTCTTCAATTGCTGCCTCATGCACTTAATGTAACGAGACCACGGAGAAGAATAACTCATGTATATAGATAGCAATGAGGTAATTAAAGCCTAGTTCTTCTCAGCCTGCTCCCCGACTCCACATAAAAGAAGTAACAAGTGCACGAACATCTAGGTTGAAAATACAACATCATGCTCTAGTGTAAAACTCCCGTGCCTCATGGAGTACTGCTGGCTTTACTACGGCCACGCTATGTATTAGCAGGTACTGATTGTGTTTGCACAAGATTTCAACAAGCTGAGCCAACCGACATCACTTCCTCTATTTCTGTATAGAGTAATATATTTACAGGAACAGCCTTTTGAAACATTCCAGTAAAATTAGCTTACTCACAGATTTTTTTTTTTAAACTAGAACAGAGAGCAGAAGGATAACATCATCATCGCTTTTTGTGCATAAATCAGCTGTCTATTTACCACTGATACGTTGCAATAATGAATTCCACTAACTTCTGAGTTATTTGTTGGGTTATTAGAGATGACCTAAGTTCACAGGATCACCAAAAAAAAAAAAAAAAAATTCCTTCATTATTTCCTGGGAAACGACCTTCAGAAGCATGTATTCCACCTCCTTCCCCAAAGCAATGCCCAAAATATTCCCGGAGGAGGCTTATCTGTTTTATAAAAACCTCCAGTGATGATGCTTCCATGACTTTTTCAAAGGCAAATAATTGCTTATCACTTGAAAGCTTTCTTAAACATTTACCCAAGTCTTGCCACCTTCAAATTAAGCCCATTTCTTCTCATCCTAACCCCAGCAGTTGTACAGTTTATTCCCTTCCTCCCTGTAGGAACCTTCCACATACTTGAACACTGCTATCATGTCTGTTACTGGCCTTCTCCCCTGTAGACTAAACAATCCCAATTCTTTCATCTTCTTTCCCAGGTCATGTTTTCCAAATCTTTGATCATTTTCACTGCCTTCTCCCTGGATGCCATCCAGCTGGCTCTTGACTATGTTGTGCCCCAAACTAGATGTTGAGCCACTTCCAACACTGAGTGAGTAAGACAGGTTATTTCGTGCCTTTTCTTTACACACCCCAAAACAGTGCTTTTTCGAGGAACAGGGATGGGGAAACTTTATTCCTTGTATGACTCCCACAGCCTCAGGTCCACGATCCCCTTCAGTCTCAGATGCGCTGTCCTGCGCACACGGATCAGGCCCGGGAGGAGTTGAGACGGGGCTCTTCTCCACCGGCGCTCACGACGGAGCTGCAGGGTCGCCAGCTCCAGGGTTGGAGCCAAAGCAGGCAGGGGAGGGAAGGAAAAGCTGCCCGCTCAGCAGAGCACTGGCAGCCCAGCTCCCAGGGGACAGGAGAGCAGGACATGCTGCAGGCTGGTTTTCTCTGGTGGTCTGGGAACCAGCTGTGATTTTTAACACCCTATTCAACTAAACCAGGCCAAACTGCCTCCAGCACAGCCCAACTCTAGCTCACAGACCTTCTTCTGTAGGACCACTATTGAGTCAGCCATTCCCCATCCTGTGTCATGCAACTGGATTTTTCTATCCTTGGACAGTGCTTCTAAGTTTGTATCCTGGGTTTGTTTTCCCCAAACCATTTCTCCAGTTAGCCTGGGCAGCTCTGAACTTTAGTCCTGCCCTCCAAGGAGCCTGCAACCCCCCTCCATGCTTCTTATCCTATGTAAATTTAATAACTGGTCTCTCTGCTCCATCAATCGTTTCAATAATGAAAACAATGAGTATTACCAAAGCCAGGACAGACCCCTGGGGAATCTCACTCACTCCAGTCTTGCAGTTTAACAGCAAACCATGAATAACTACTTCGAATAGTGCCTATGAAATTCTGTGCACCCACATTAGAGACCAGCCGACCAGACACACAGCCTGCTTCAAAGAAAGCTGTGTTAGAAAGCATCCAGAGCCCCCCATTAAAGAGGGACTAATTTCTATCAGACAGCGAGGTCCAACTACATTGTCACAGGCGCTGTTGGAAAGTCTTTGCTAAACACTGCCATAAAAACGTAATGCATGCTGATAAGAGGAATAGGAGTTGATAACCAAGCTTTAGGATGACAGGAAGAACTTCATCTTACTGAGATAGCAGGACCCTGACTTTGCTTCCAGCAAGAGAGAAGCTTGGAAGAAGCAAACTGAAACGCAGTATAAAAATGACAGGAATTTTGTACCTGCCATCAACAGCTGCTGACTTAGGAGTTAAAGAAGATACTATCATAGAGGTGTGGGTTTGGGGCTTTTTTTAATAAAAACAAAACATTTTCTTAGCTGTTCCAGATGTTTTTTGAATCGCATTCCTTACTGCTCCCTAATAGCCTATCCTGCTCAGGGATCACAAACAAGCCAGCCAGACAGCAAAGACCATGGCTCCCAAAACCCAGATTAATGCTTTAATCAACCGCTGAAAGCAGCCCCAGCCCCACACCAGCACTAGGAGAAGCAAGTGGCAGTGGCTGGTGCCTGAAACAGGGAGAAAGGGTAAGTTCCATGGAAAGTGAAAGGTGAGGCAGCTTTCCAGCACTGGCTCCCTCTGCTTGCCAAAATAGCAATGCCCTGCCCACGCCTCACTCTGACTTCTGCAGAAGATGCGCCTGCTTCCCAGGAGAGTTTACTCTCGCAATGCAGATGTGCTTCACTGAGGCAATCGCATTCTGTTGCGTAATGTGACCCGGAATTAAACAGTATATGCTATTTGGTGCATTTTTAAAATGTAAACCAGAAGTTACTGCGGAGCTCAGTGACGCTGCCAAGAATGTTAGCGCTATGATTTTAGCAGGGAAGAATATATCATATCCTCCCTCCTCCCACAGCTTACTCTTGAGTCGTAATTTTGCTAAATCCTTTTGTACTTGTAAGTAAAATACAAAGTCACACAACTATGTGACTTTCATTTTGATCTTTGCTGAC